GGTTATTGATTGTGGGCAGCCTACGACATCATATGAAATTAAACTGTACTTTAGTTTAAGTCTGAATTGAAAATAGTTAAATACAATTAGTTGGCAAAAAAAAAAGAAAAAAAACGTGGCTTTCAATTTTACTTTTTATGCGCAATTCAATGATAAAATAAAGAGCTAAATATAGTTGCACACACACAAAGGGAGAAAAGGGAGAGTGGGCGGTGGGGTGGTGGGAGAGACTTGTGTGTGCGAGTTTTGAATAGACAATGTTTTATTTATGGGGCTTAAACAGTCGAAAATTGTGGCAGTTCCGACAAGCGACGGTGCGGTGACTCCACGTAAACAATAACAAAATGCAGAAAAAGAACACAAAAAAGAAAATAAATAAATAAATAAATAAATAAATAAAAATAAATTAAGAAAAAAAGGCCTCAGAGAAATGGGAGCTTGAGCTGTATGTGGCATTGTAAATTTAAACACTAATTTGGCAATCAAAGCTGAAAACAAAAAAATCCCCAACCCAATAAAGAAAAAAAAAAAAAAAAAAAAAAGAAGAGAAAAATGAATTCCAAATGAGCACCGAATTTAAGCTATTCAAAATAAACAACAAAAAGGAAATAAACACAAACTTAATGACACACAAAACTAAAAGCCCAACTTATGATCTTCACATATATATTTATATATCATTAATCTAGGCAATGACAGGGCAAAAAAAAAAAAAAAAAAAACAAATATGAATAAATAGTAAAAAAAAATGATAGAGCGAAAAAGAGAGAGCGGGACAGAGGTAAAGAAAAGAAACTGCGCGTAACATAAATATTATGAATGTGAACAATTTGTAGTTAGTAATTTTGTTGCATGCCACGGGCACGCAAGCACATCAACTATGAATAACGGCAATAACAATATGCTACATTTTGTATTGTCGAACACACACGCACACACACACATACAGACACACATTGAGTGTAAGCGTTGTATAAACGAGCGCAAACAAATTTCACGACAGACGCGAATTTGATTTAATTTATATGTCTCTAATGAAATTAGTAATAGTAAAATGCACAGACACACACACAAACACACACACATACATGGTAAACTCACTTTTAGTTAACTATCTCTTGGATAAGTAGTATTTCAATTCCTTGATCAATGATCACAGCCAGGATGCGTTTTTGTCTTTGTTTTGATTTCAGTTCAGTTTTATATTTAAAAAAAAAAATTGTTTTTTTTTTTTTTTTTTTTGCATGCAACAAACAACTACAACATGACAGACGTGACAGTGTATTATTATCTATTGTTGGTTTTGTTGTACATTTATTTATTTCTTTTCTTTTTTAGGGGCTTTGTTAACGAGCTGTACTGTAAACGTAGACCAGCGGTGTTGAGCTGAAATCAGCGACTGAATTTTGTATTGAATTTAGTGAGTGCCGTCGGCTAGGCGGCACACGGTAAGCGCTGCCAGCGACGCGACGTCGCAACGACAGCGACAGCAACGCAGCGGCGCTACGGGGGCGGCATGCGGTATGCGGCATGCCGCGGCAAGCAAAGCGCCGATCACTCAGATCCAAGCTTGCCAGCGACAACGACGGCAGCGAGAGCGATAAAGCGAGTGAGAGAGCTGCGACTGCAGCAATAGCAATACCAGCAGCAACAGCAACAGCGGCAACAACGGCGGCAGCAGCAGCGGTAGCTTCTGCAATTGTCTCTCCGAAACACAAAAAGAAACAAAATTAAATAAATATGCATAAATATTAAATACCTACGTATATAAAGTCTATATAAAAAGAGCCATAAACTTCATATAGACTTAAATTTCCCTGGGTCTATTGCGAAAAGATTATTCCCACAGACAATGGGATGCTCAGCTGGCAATTACCCCGCAAAATGTTTATAAATAAACTTTTACTTCAATATTAACAAAGAGTAGACATTAAAACAAATATAAATATGTGTAAATATAAAAAAAATATATAGATATATACATTTATTTTATATATACACATGCATATATATTTTATATATATATATTATATTTTATATATATTATTTAATTTTTTTTATTTTTTATTTTAATGAAAATTATTTAGATATATTTAATTGCTTTCTAAATTTAATATATATATGTATATATATAGCGTTAATTAATATAATATATATAATATAAAGCATTGCTTATATATCTTTATTTTATATAAGCAATGATACAAAAAATTTAAATTTAATTTAATACAATATATATATATATATATTTAATTACTATATATACAGTATATGGTATTTACTTTATTTATTCTATTTATTATTATTATTATTTTTTTTTTTTTTTTTTTTTTTTAATAATTTAATATATAAATATAGCATTGCTTATATAAAATATAGTAAAAATTTAAGTAAATTTATAGTATCTATGTATTTAAACTATATGAATAATTTAAATAATTCAAAATAAATGTATATATTTTTTTAGCATTTCTTATGTAAACCTTGATTTTTCGTATCCGCAATTGGCAATCTTTTCCCTTGGCAGCAGTTTTATCTACTTTCTTTTCATATCAGTCACATACCCGTGCTCAAATTTGCTCAGTCTATTGGCACGAGTTTTAAGATGCTTACGCAGAAACCCGCTTCACAGAGTCTATACAAATATCTGTTCATCTGTAGACCTATATACATATAAATGTACATACATATATCAAATATTTATGTATATACTGTGCAAATTGTTGTCTTTTTATATTAATTGTCAGCACGTCAATGTCTGTTGCTATTGAAGTTTCCAATTATTTTTGGTCGCTTTTGGTAAGTTTTGCATATGAGCGGCAAACACATCGTTAACACTTTTTTCATTACTATTTTGGGGTCTAGCGCAAACGAGGTTAAGAGTTGCCAGAGGTGCGCAAAGGGGCGATGGGATCGGGCAGGGGTTACAGCTACTTCAAGTGGGCTCCGGTTTGATTTACCTTGCTATCGCGAATGGGGCTTGAAACGTGTTGCAGCTGGTCGCTAACTAACTAGTATAAGGCAATATTTTCTCTGGTCTTGGATTAACATGCGATTCTCTGGAAATCAAAGCGAAATTATATAAATAAAGAATACAAAAATTAATTTTAATTAACTTTGACAATTGACTTTCTCGATCTAATCGATCGAGGGAATCCCAAAGTGCCAAGACAAGGCGTGTGTGTGTGTTTGTGTGTAGGTATTTGTTATGCACGCCGTTCGGTGATTCGTGTACAGCTTTTAGCTGACCAATTGCACCCTCAGCCTTCAGGCTTAGTGCTTTTAGCCCAATGAATTGCTGCAGTAATTCACCTGTTTTCCCACCCCTCCCCGGGGCCTTAATTATCGCTCTTGATCTGTTGATGTTTTGACGATGGTTGTCCACGGGGGACTACGGGGCACGCCCACTTGACCTTGACTGACAAAGCCACTGCGCCGCAAAGACCGCAGCTGAATGGAGTCCATTGACTGATGTCGCTGCCATGCAGCGGCGCTGAGCTGTAACGCGGCTCCCCTCCAGCCCTCGCCCCAACACCAGCCAGCTGCTGGTACTGCTGCAGCTGCAGCCAGTTTGCTTGGTATCACGAAACATAATAATAATCATAATAAGCTCATTACAATTGAAATCAACTAAATTTATTGTATTTTTTTTTTAATTTCTTGCATTTGGAAAAAATCGAATTCACAAATATTATTTAATAAATAATGCTTGTTCTCGAAGTGCCGAATCATACATAATTATTCCAACAGACCCTATACAATCTTATAGATCCGGGTCAATAACAGATCCCGTCTACAGTGGCGAGCACGTGTGGATACATGTTGGCCAAGTCGATTTTAAAAACAATAAAAATATATTGATCGATATATAGTATTATAATTATTTATACCCTTAACCCATCGAAAATGGGAAATCTGGGTATAATGATAATGTTAAATGTATGTCGAAAGAGGCATGGCAGGCCCCATAAAGTATATATGTATATTTTTGATCATGGCGACGAGCTGAGTCGATTTAGCCCTGCCCGCCCGTCCATCTGTCCGTATGCGAGCGTCGATCTTAGAAAATATTAGAGCTAGACACTTGAAATTTTTTTGATAGGCTCGTGTATGTCACTCGCACATTGAGTTTATTTCCAAGGCGACAAAGAGCATACGCCAGCAAACCATAGGCTTGTGATGGTCACGCGAAAGGCATGAAAGATGGGCCGCAAAAATAGTCCTTGATCTAGAGCAGTGGATCAATGGGGAGCATGGTGAAAGTCTTTTTATTTGACAAAACTGCTCTCCGGTCATGGATACCTTCAAAAGTACCTAAATAAGATGGGGAAAATTGCCGAATCCAGCTGTATTTACTGCGAAAATGCAATGGACGATGCAGAACACACATTCTTCAACTGCAAAAGGTGGGTGGAAGAAAGAACTGATCCAGCAGAAACTGTCGGTGAAGTCAAAGTAAAGGCATTACAGTACAGCGAATGTGCAGCAGCATAGATGCCAGCAAAAAAGTCTATGACTTTGCCGAAAAAGCTCTGCGGCGGAGAAGTATGACGCACATGACAGAGCTCCACCTTGAAGATTAATGCGGGATAACTCCTGGTTCCAAGGTGGATTCGAGCCCCAGAAGAGGAGGATTTTTTAGTTGGTAAGCAGTCATGCAGTCCGACACGTCAGTCAAACGGTGCATAAAGCCTGACTGACGGTGCATAAAGCATTTTTTCTTACCTCAGCACAACAACAACAACAAAAAAAAAAAAAAAATTATTATTATTATTATTATTATTATTGTTATTATTATTATTAATATTTTTACCAACAATATCAACAATAGGAAAAACACTGCTATTTAATCATGTCTGTATTTTTCTGGAGTCGTCGCACAAAAGTAGGCAACGCGCAGTTCACTCGTGATTTTCAAGGGCCGGCCTTAAAATTCTCAACAGGTTATAGCTCAGACACGATGACATGGCAGCTAAAATGTTGCTTATTCGGGCGGCTAATTATATAAATCTTGTTATTATTATAGCTCGACTTTACAGTCCAGCTCCGTCTCATACAGTCTTGCGACTGTGGCGGATTGGTATTATTATTATAGCTCGACTTTACAGTCCAGCTCCGTCTCATACAGTCTTGCGACTGTGGCGGATTGGTATTTTTTTTTTTTTTTATAAACAAGTATATATAATACCCGACCAAAGTGTCGAGGCCGCCCCATCTAATAGTGTGGGTTCATTGGGAGAGGAAATTTTTTTTTTTTTTTTTTTGTGAAATTGCTGGCATATGAACGTGTTCACAGGGTGAATTCGACTTATTGTATGGGATCTGCTTGCTCCTCTTTCTGCTTGTTGTATATCCATGGATATGGTTGAGAAATGGTTGAACATTTAAAATCTGTGCTAAGTTTTGCCTTGGCCAAGTTTAACCACCTTATTCTGGGTGCAGCTTCTACTACTTTTTTTTATTCATAATTATAATAACGATAATAACTTCTTCTGAAATTCGTACACGGTACCCAGACTGTTTGATGAAACAGGCAACTGTGGTGTGTGGAGTATTCTTCCAATGGCTCCTTAGTTTTTTGCGCTGCGCTATCATGGGGCGCTAATAAGTGTGACTCTTTGCCAGTCACATGACTCGTAATTTTACTTATAGAAATATTAGTCCTACTTTTCATCATGTTGTTTTTCGGCGTCGATTTAATTATTTTCCACACGTTTAATAATACGGCCGACGAGACATACTATTTAGCTACGGTAGTTGATAAAGTTTTATGCAAGTTCAAAATTATTTTTTTTTACCAATCCTATTATTGGTTCTACTTTTCTTCAAGTTGTTTTGGCAAGGATTAATTATTTTCCACTCGCTTAATAATACGACCTAGGGCTGTATGGCTGATGGAACGTCGAAAGCGGCCAGGTAATGGAAGGGCCGGAGTTTGAAGCGCTGTTAATAATAATAAAAAAGCATCACTATAGGCGGAAAGCTGAGGTGTTCAAGCAATCTAAGTATTATCTGCTTGTATGTCTTCCTATCTGTACTTCATCCAAATCCAAAATTTAGTTGGGGGTTTCGAAGGCTTGCTGAAGACAAACTACAATTACAATATCTGTTCATTAATCAAATCGGAACTCTATTTGCTTGTTTTCTCTAAAGACAGCACCAACGGCTCACAGATTCGTACGCCTGTGTGACAATTTCCCTTAATACTAATTGGATTCGGCTGTTGATCGACTCTATTACAAAGTCTGCCGAGCTGTTACTGGTAATGCTTAAACTATTGTATGTATAATTCGTAACAATCGATTTGTTGGTTTCGAAGATTTTCGCTAAAGACATAAAACCAGCAATTTTTTTTATTCATAAAGTGCAGACATATTACATATTACATTTTTCTAGAGTCGTCGCACAAAACACCGCAGTTCACTATGGATTTTCAAAAGCCGGCCTTTACATAATAATTATATCTTATTATTATGATAGCTCGACCAGCTCTGTCATTGTTTTTTTATAAGCAAGTATATAAATACCCGACCAAAGTGTCGAGGCCGCTCCATCTAATAGTGTGGGTTCATTGGGAGGGGAAATTTTTTTTTTTTTTTTTTGAAATTGCTGGCATATGAACGTGTTCACAGGGTGAATTCGACTTATTGTATGGGATCTGCTTGTTCCTCTTTCTGCTTGTTGTATATCCATGGATATGGTTGAGAAATGGTTGCCTAGGCCAAGTTTATCCACCTTATTCTGGGTGCAGCTTCTACTACTTTTTTTTTTATTCATAATTATAATACCGATAATAACTTCTTCTGAAATTGTACCTGTGGTGTGTAGAGTATTCTTCTAATGGCTCCTTAGTTTTTTGCGCTGCGCTATCATGGGGCGCTAATAAGTGTGACTCTTTGCCAGTCACATGGCTCGTAATTTTACTCATAGAAATATTAGTCCTACTTTTCGTCATGTTGTTTTTCGGCGTCGATTTAATTATTTTCCACACGTTTAATAATACGGCCGAGGAGACATACTATTTAGCTACGGTAGTTGATAAAGTTTTATGCAAGTTCAAAATTATTTTTTTTTTAACAATCCTATTATTGGTTCTACTTTTCTTCAAGTTGTTTTGGCAAGGATTAATTATTTTCCACTAGCTTAATAATACGACCTAGGGCTGTATGGCTGATGGAACGTCGAAAGCGGCCAGCTAAGGGAAGGGCCGGAGTTTGAAGCGCTGTTAATAATAGAAAAGCGTCAGCACAGGCGGGAGGCTGAGGTGTCCAAGTAATCTAAGTATTATCTGCTTGTATGTCTTCCTATCTGTACTTCATCCAAATCCAAAATTTAGTTGGGGGTTTCGAAGGCTTGCTGAAGACATTGTTGTTAATAAAAAAAAAATTATACAAATCACAATTTATAATATGTGTTTTTTTTACAAAATTAAAAATATTTGTTGATATCGAAGATTTTCGCTAAATACTTAGAACCAACGATTTTTTTTATATAAACAGTGCATACATTTTATAATATAACTAGCTGACCTGCAAACGTTGTTTTGCCATATCCATTATTTCTTTATACTTAAATACAGAATAACTAATTTACTAGTGTGTGGAGATGCAGTTATAGTCGAAAGCGTTGTACTCAACCGAAGTATGCTTTATTTATTACTATATTAGTGACAATTAAAAGAAAATACAGATTAATCTGTCAGGGCAATGGAATGCGCAATATTCTTTGTTAGGCCATCTTTAGCCAACACAAACAAACTGGATGGTTTCCCAATGCGAGAACATGCCACATATACGTAGTTATCCGTGGGAAAAGCATGGTGTTTCCAAATCTAAGCCACATACTGACAACATTTGGCCTTGTGACTTGTTGATTGTCATCGCGTATGCCAATCTGATTGAGAATTGAATGCGTTCGAATTCAATTGGCACATCTGTAGGGATCATAGGAATTCGTGGCATTAATACACTTTCATCTTGAAACTTGCCATTCAAATCGGTGGTCTCAATCACACTCTTCATTAATTTTTTAAGTTCCAATCGTGTTCTATTGCTCAGGCGTGGTATATTCAAGTTCAAGTTACGGAGCAAAATCACTGGAGATCCGAGCTTCAATTGTAAGTGGTGCGGTGGCATGCCTGGTAAAGCTGGTAAAGCATCTTGCGAGTTGATTGTGCAGAAATCGATTTGTAGTTTGTAGTTGTCCCAATGATTGTCGTCTTCTAGCAAGCCTAGTGCAGGACATGCATCTTTATGCGTTGGATACTGTTGGCCATTTACTTCACGTATACAATTAAGTTCCCGGAAATAGATGCTGATCGTTTTCTTCGATATTCGTGGTGTTGTTAATTCGGAATTCTTACCGGAGGGCCAAACCGTCAATAAAGAATGGTATCTTGGCATTATGAGGCGTTTGAGGATGAATATTCGTCGCAAAAGAACAGATTTGTGGCGGAACAACAGTTGGATTTTGCATCACGATAATGCACCAGCGCACAAAGCGATCATTGTGAACGAGTTTTTTGAAGAAAAATTCAACAAATATCATCGAATAAATAAATATTTAATAAATTTAGATGCTTGATAAGTTGTTTGTGTTTCATTTCACTTAATGGGAAAATATGTTGGTGCATATCCCACCAAGCTAAGACATCAAGGTTTGAATTGTATGTAATATTTAGATTAGAGTATCCGGCTATTTCTTATCCTATAATGTCTGTAGTGCTATCAACTTGCTGATGCTCAATATATTCAGCAAATTCATCTTCTCCTGAATAGCATTCTGTCATGTCAGTAGTAGTAATAGTTTCTGTAAGAAAATGTTTCATAATATTTTTGCATTCATTTATTATAGTATCCTTTTCAGTGTCTATGAACTGCTTTAATTTGTTTGTGAGGGTGATGAGAAACAAGGCTATGTTGTGAAATTTATATAAATTGGAAAGGACGGTAATTGAAATTTGCGATTAGAGTTTTAGCTTAAGATCTTGAATAGTTTCAATATCAGTGTAGTCGATTTCACAAATTTTGTTTAATTTATTTAAATTTGGAACAATTAAATGTATGGTTTGCCGTTGAGAAGCTTCAATTTTTTTTTTTTTGACACAGTTTCAAAAGCTTCTAGGAAACTACCTCATATTAATTCCTTCAATTCGGCCTATTTGATTTTTATCCCTTAATATGGTTGTTATTTCAATCCAGTTAACTTTTATTGATTTTAATAGGTAATAGACTGTATTCCAGCGAGCAGGGCAAAAGCTTTTTAATGATAATCCTAATGAAAATTTCATACCCGATTTCATAAAATATTTTACAAGCTTCGTACAAATACTGACAATATTTCCTACCGCGGGGACAGCATCAATAGCTTTCCCTACAGCATTGTTAAGTAGATGGTTAGCGCAATTAATTTTTTCAAAGCCGCAAAAGGCTTTCACCATATTTGACCCACGATCGGTTACAATTACGGGATTATTCAATTCTAAATCGCATCCGAATTCGGTTAGTATTTCCACTATTTTGGCTCGAATATTTAAACCTAGACATATGTGATAAAATGCGTACTTTCTGCTTGATCGTTCGCAGCGCACTGATTTTGTCATTAGATCAAGCTCAAGCCTCAAGCGGAGCCGAGCAAATACGAAGTGTTGACACGAAGATATATGCATGCAAATACTCAAGTGCCTCGACGCCTGTATGCTTCGGCTCAATTTTGTATTCCTATTTAGGTCTTATTTATTCTCATCCTTTTTACTCAAGGCAGTGAGATATGAGGCACTGAGTCCATACGAACTGACATAGTATCAACATGTTTTATTCCCTCACTCACTCACTCAGTCTCAATTCAAGTGGACTAAATTTTGCTAGGTTATGAGTGCGGCCATGCAGCTCTCTACTGTATATACACGACCCAAATTATTATATTTATTTATGTATTATATTTATTTATGTATTATATTTATTTATGTACTTACAATGTAAACTTATATAGCTAACATAAATTATTAAATTAAATTTTTTTTTAAATTATTAAATGAAATTAATTAAATAATGATTTTGGTGCTGGCTGCTAGGGCCTTCGACTCTCTTGTTGTGATTATATTTTATTGACAATTTTTGTTTGGGTTAGGTATTGGTATTGGATATGTTAGATGCTGAATGGGGTCAAGATTTTTGAATACTTTATTATAGGATGTTTGTAGGGATGATTTTAAATTTTGGTTGGTATTTGGCGAGGATGTTCGGATGATGTTTTCTATTGCGTCTATGGTTGAGAGGAAGTCGGTGTATATGGCATATTTGCCGGGCTTGTATTAAACAAGTAAGAAGGCTCCAGTCGAGACTGCTCGACTAGGAGATACCCTGAACCCTCTAAGCTGATATTCTAATCATTCTGCATTTTTATGCACACATACATACACATGCATCCACATGCACGCTCTGCTAACTGCGCAGTAAGCAGCGACTGCGCTTGGGCTGCGCTGCAGTGTGGACATACGATCTTAATGAAACTTTTAGAGCGTAATCATATGGTTAAATGTGTGCACAAGTCTCTAGTACTTGAAAATTGGGGGAGAAGGGGGCGTGGTATCAAAAATCTGTAAATTACAAAATCTTTGTATCGATTAACTTTATATACAACGCAAATTTAATGACTCCAGGTCTAAAAGTGTTCAAATTAGGCTAAAAAAACAAAATCATTTTTTCAATTATTCTCGATAAAAAAGTTATCGGATGATTTATCGAAAAAATAAATCAAACTCGTACTGCGTATGGCACACACGAGTATGCATGCTAAATTTCAGCTCTCTAGCTCTTATAACTTCTGAGATCGACGCACTCATACGGACGGACAGACGGACAGGGCTATATCGACTCAGCTCGTCGCGCTGATCAAGAATATATATACTTTGTGGGTCTGCCACGCCTCCTACTGCCCGTTACATACTTTTTCACAAAACCATTATACCCTGATTTCCCATTTTCAATGGGTTCAGGGTATACAAAATATTGAGGGTTTCTGTGATCGCGATGAGTAAAATGGTATTAAGCCTGATTTTATTATGTTGTGTTCGTTGGTTATGGCGTATGGTGTGATTTTGTTTATTTGGGAGCCATCAGTAAATACGGGTTTGCATATTTTTAAAGTCGTCAGCATATGCGCGTTCTTGGATGTTTTTGTAATGGGATATGATTGAGTTGAGTTTGTTGAAAGCGATGGGGAAGAGAATAATCGAGAGGGGGAGCCTTGTGGGATACCATTATATAAAGGGCGTGTTATTGTATAGTTATTTCCTATTTTTGTTATGATTTTTCTGTTTGTCATAAAGTTTTTTACGTAGCTGAATATATTGGTTCCATGTTTTGAGCTGGTCGAGTATCATGTGTAGTCCTATTCTGTCAAATGCTTTTGCGAAGTCAAGGGAAACGATTGATGCGTGTTTTCTTTTTGAGGGCGTTCTACATATAAGATGGTCTAAAAAAAGTAGACTATCTATAGTAGATTTGCCTTTTCAGAAGCCGACTTGTCTGTTGTGTATAAGTTTGCTGTTGTTGACAAACCACCACAGTCCTTTTGAAACAATTTTATCAAGAACTTTAGGTAGAGTTTAATTCGGATTTTGGTGAGGTTGGTTTAAGTATTGGGATAATTATGCTAGTCTTGTACGATTGTGGGGATATAATTTTTAAGGATTAAATTTTGAAGATTAATTATGCGGGTCTTTGTTTTATTGTCTATGTTCTTTATCATAGCATAGTTGATTCTGTCTTGGCCAGGTGTTTTGCCTGTTAGTGATTTGATTGCTGTATTGAATTCTAATATTGAAATATCATTTTCTATGGCTAATGCTTCTTTGTTAATTGAGGGTGTGGGTTTTAATGATAATGTAGAGCGTTTATCTGAAGAACAGGCTGTAGGGAAGTTGTTGTCGTTGGCTGCGTCTGACCAGTTTTTGCAAAAAATGTTTGCGATTTCCGATCTTCCGGTGGTGCGTTGGGATGAGATTGGGTTGAGGATGCAGTGGATGTTTTTGGAGGGATTGAGACCACAAAAGCGCCGAATTTTGGTTCATATTTTTCTTGTGATGAGGTTTGTGGATTGATTTGTGCGGTAAAGGTGTTTGTGCTTGTGTTATGGTTGTGTTTTAGTTTTCTCAACGTTCCACCAGAGAACGTTTTGCGAGTGTTTTTGGAGGGATGATTGGGGGATTGCAAAGTGAGCTGCGCGCAGTGGGCGATTTAGCTCATCTAGCGTAACGAAATTAATTACTCAAATAATAAAAACAATTTTGCAAAAATGGTAATTTTCCTTCAATGCACAATATTTAATAATTTTTTGCACCTTAAAAATTTTTGTTATGCTTTTTTTTTTTCTTCACATGTTTTTAACATTTTTATTTTCTGCATTTTTAGCTTTTAACTACTGTTATTATTAATAAAATGTTAAACACAACACTTTTGTATGCAGTAAATTGATTAAAAATAAAGTGTCCCTTATAAATAAATAAAAAAATAATATCAGTCATCCGAATCGGAATTTTTTGAATCCGAAGAATAATTCAATAGCAGGCTTCGAACTAGATTTTTATTTCCTTTGCTTTTGCACAAACTTTTTATCAGTAGGTCTGAAGCAACTAATAATGAACTCATTAAATCCTCCATTGTATTTATACGCGAGTTTTTTCGTGTATGCTTGAGCCGAAAATTCGCAAATTTTTTATTTACTTCCAAAGCTTCTTCCTATCGGAAGTGGTACACATTCTATAATTTCGTCCTTGAGCCAGGCTGCATTGTTGTTCTCCAATCGATTCTTATCTCTGTTACTTTTCTTCTACTTTTCAGACAATTTTTTGTGAAAAATTTTAAGTTTATCCATAATTGAATGATAGTTCTGCTTACTACAGTCCGATTTCTGTATAACATTAGAAAAAATGTAGTCGACAAGTGCGGAATACTTATTTGAAGCGCATTTTTCATTATGCCACACTACAAAATAAAAAAAAATAAAAAAAAAAAAAAAATTTGTACGGGCCAATACGGACCTCAACATTTTTTATTCTACAGAAGATGACATTAGTTAACAATAGGGTATTAGAGAGACAGATGGTTAAAAGTACAATTAACAACACAACATATATTCACAGGTCACAAAGGCTTTGATGAACGTAATACAATAATACAAAACAATATTAATAATAATATTAAGAGTGATAACTTTTTTTGTGCACCAAAAGCAAACAAAATAAAATATATATCAAGTTAAAATGAAAACAATGATATTGATCTTACCATTCATTGGATTAATCATTTTGATATTAAAGTGATATCCATCGTCTCCTTGCCAAAACATCAGCGGGTATTATAACGCGTCATATGAACGGTGCGTTTCATATATTCACTGTAGTTGCCCAGTAATGCATCGTGTAAGCACAACATCACGTGCTTCCAAGCTTTCACCAACAATCAGGATTGCCACTTCATCGATTGTTGGAGCATTTAATGTGCGTTCATGTGTTCCAGCTGGTCTTTTATCTGCTCTGATTACAACTTTATAGTCATCACTTGGCATGCGCTGTAAAGCAGTCT